TGGCCTTCTAAAGAGCAGTCAGGGTTGATCTCCTCTAGAACTGACCGGTTGGATCGCATTGCAGTCCAAGGGACTCGCAGGCCAATGGGGGGACCCCCCACTCCCAAAATGTCCTGCTGCCCACAAACCCCTCACTCCTTGTGGGGCGGCGAGGCCTTCTTCTCTCCCTGCGCCGGGGAAAGGCTTCACCGCCCCTTTCTTGGCTCCCTCAGGCGAAGGCCCCGCCGTCCACCCCCCCTCCCCTCAGAGGCCTCTCCCCCACCTTTGTAGTGGACGCGCAGGTTGCCCTGGGAGAGGCCGATGTAGCTATACTTGTCCTTGGGGCTCCAGGCGCGCGGCAGCGGCGTCTCGGACGGGTTGACGGCCGGGTAGAGTCGGCGGAGGCGCCGGTTCAGCTCTTGCTCCTCCGGCGGAGGAGGAGGCGGGGGAGGAGGCGGCGGGGGAGGAGGCGGCGGCAGCGCCGAGTCTCCCTCAGGTAAGCTGGCTGCACCCGCATCCGCCATCTTGGATCCACTATTGTGTCAGCGGGAGGGGAGCGGGGCTCCTTTTCCCCGGCCGTCCAATGGGAGGCGGGCTCGGCCACAATGGAGGCCGCGCGGCATCTCGGGAAGGCGAGTCCGGCTCTCCACCTCAAGACGGGCTGGCTGGAGGAAGCGGAGACTACAGGTCCCGAGAAAGGCCGCGAGGGAGGAGGCCCCGCCCACTGGGCTGCGTCGCAAAGGCTTTCGGGATAGCGAGTAAAGACATAGGTGTACAGAAAAAGCCTTGGGAGCTTTCAAGCCGGCGCTGAACGGGGTGCATTCCTTAAAGCAGAGGTCTTCAACCTTTTGCCCCTTTAAGACTTGTGGACTTCAACTCTCAGAATTCTCCAGCCAGCTCTGCTGGCTGGAGAATTCTGGGAGTTGAAGTCCAAAGTCTTAAAGGGGCCAAGTTTGGGGATCTCTGCCTTAAAGCAAATAAATCCCGCAGCCGATGCACGGATGGGATATTTGCGCGATGAGAAAGCGGGTCGGAGGTGATCCTATACTATCAAGTTACAGGTGTGAGCACGGGGTTGGACTAGAAGACCTCCAAGGTCCCTTCCAACCTTTATGATTCTATATTTTTTTTAAAAAAACAACCCATCGCACCATTATCTGCGAATCAGCCGTGACTAGGGAAACAAGCTATAGCGAGATCCATTTCTATACAATCCCGAAGACAATGTTTACCCCATAAATATTGGCAATATTACCATTCCTCCCAAAACACACACATACTTTCTACGAAAGGCCTGTTTAAACGGCCTCTCCCGCCTTCCAACGCTGCATTTACAGACTCGGGAATGTTAAGAACATGGGAGAATTCTCCCAATTAGCCTGGAAGCCTTCCTCGAAGTCAATCAATCAGAGCTGGAAGGAGCTCAACCAATCTCATTGTACATATGTTGTGAGCTGACAATAAAGAATTATGGAAGGACCTTGGAGGTCTTCTAGTCCAGTGTTTTTCAACCTTGGCAACTTGAAGATGTCTGGACTTCAACTCCCAGAATTCCCCAGCCAGCGAA